TTCGCGCGGACGGTCGACCGACGTTCAAAGACGCGACCCGAGCCTACGTCTATTATTCGCTCATTGTTTCTGCACAATTGTACCGAGTCATGTTATACGTTCTCCTCACGCTTCACACACGTATACACACGGATCTTCACGAAAACGGGAGTCTTGGAACGGATCTCGAGTCGACGCGAAACGACACGAAATGTTACGGAATGACACGAAGTGACGCGTCACGAGCCAATAACGCGATCACGCCACGCGAACGATGGGATTGGGGAGGGGGTATGCGAGATCGGGCCATGAGTCCGATTCGCCCCGCGTTTCTGGCAGTTGATCGAAATTGATCTGCAAAGATGCATATAATTTTGTTAATTTTACTTATAACTCGAGTCCTCGTTTCAACGGGTTATTATTTCGCGAATGTTTGAATATCTTGTTGAGTTTTTAGAGATAATCACGGTTTACTTGTGACCACAAGAAGATTCGTTTGGAATGAAAATTGATACTTTGAAAATTCGTTGAATCAGTGACCTCGTGTTCAGGATACAGCGAAAAGTTTATTGGTGCTTCAGTAAAGGATAGTTGTTAATGTGATTGACGAATAATTGACTGCCTAATTGAATAAAACGTGCAATATTTGCAATATATAGTTTGTTAATACATTTGCCACATTTTTTCAAGCTTTCGTTGTGGAAAAATAATTCAGATTGTTGTCGATATTATGTGAAAAATGCATTTCTTAAAGAAGATGCGCGATCATCGTTCTGGTCTCAAAGAATACAAAGCGTAAATCAAAATTCTACTTATTTCTCTATCGTGTCGCGAAACAAGCAACGCTGACTCGCGTAAATATCTTTTAACAAAAAAAAAAAAAAGGTAAACTGATCGACCAACCACGCGTAAGTTTCGCAAGTTTAAAAATAACAGTCACGGCGCGAATTATGAAATCTCACTAGTCGGAACATTCAACGATAATAAATTTCCACGGTCAGCATGTGCAGGCCACCCGTCCGTACGGGCACCCACACACACGTATACATATACACGTACAAAATGTCGCAAAAGTGGGAAAATTACGGTACAGGGTAATTTGATATATATGATGCACTACCTCAGAAGCAAGGCGTTTTACGCGATATAAAATTTTTAATTAATCACATTAGTGAAAAGAAGGGAAAACAGAAGAGAAATCGAAGGTGACGAAAGTATATATATGCGCAAGCGCGACCGCGAGAATTGCTTGAGATTTTTGTCCCTACAC